GAAGGCGCACTTTTTACTCTCTCCCTTTTATTACCTTCGTTTTTCTTGAGCGCGCAGGCATAAATTATGTGACGATTCTCGCTCGGATTCGACGCCGTTGACGTGTGTATCATCGAACGACGATCATTCGGTCGCTCTCCGGGGACGTTCGTATGGTGCAATCGACAGCCCAATCGAATGGATAGAGATTGAAGATTGGAGTTTTTCATATGCTGATTATCACTTTTGAGCTTCATTTTTTTTCTTTTTTTGTGCGAATCGTTCACCTATCGGATTAGCGCGATAAGACTGTGTAATGTATTTGAACATTTTTATAATCATTCTTCAATATTGCAAGTGCAGACACCTTTTACGTGTGCAGTGTGATTACACGCTGACTGCCGTGATGCCATATAGTATTCTCGTAAGCTTTCTTCACGATGATCGAAAAATCCTTTGTAATTGATCTCGCTCTCGCCTCAATTCATCGAAAATCCTACAAATGTAAGCTCGGTCAACAACATGTCTCTACAAAATACTCCAGCCTGACAAAAAAAAAATAAGGAAGCAATAAAGATATGAAAACACTCACATTAAAAGGAGATATGACACGTAATGGCAGTCCCTTACTGTCAAGAAAAGAAAAATGAAAATCGCGCCAAGGAGCGCGAGCAGTAGGGGCAAAATAAAAGTTAGCGAGCATTCGAGATGTGGCAGGTAAACGCGTACGCGGCGAACTTTTCTCGCGAACGCAACGGCGCAATAAATTGCTCTCACTTTCCCGGCTGCAACGCGAGTAATCAAGAAAGCTGACGGACTAAGAGAGTCTTGCGTCTGAAAACTTATGCATTAATCCAACGGGGAACAAAGAGGGAGTGAGAGTGAGTCGTCGCAAGACGTTTTGAATAAATAAGCATGCGCTGTATTTTTTATACGAAAAGACAGTCTTTGCATTGACGGTGCGCGGTTTATTTATATAAGGCCGTGTGCCTATTGTTTGGCTCATAAGTGATTGGCGATACGTGGTCTGCAAGTCGAGAAGAGTTTTTCTTTCTTCGCTCAACTCTCTCTCTCTCTCTCTCTCTCTCTCTCTCTCTCTCTCTCTCTCTCTTCTTTGTACGCCTGCGTGACGAATCGCCAAAGAGTATACGCAGTAGCTGCCGTGGCTTCTCCAAGTTGCGCGACTTGACGATCAAGTTCCCTCGTTGCGAACTATATATACTCTCTTTTTTTCTTGCCGGGAGTTTTGACGACGAATTTTTATAGTTTGATGCTCTTAGCCGAGTTTTATTGCTGAGATATGGAAGTGTTTTGTTGGCCTTTTTCCGGTTGTTCAGACGCTCGTGACGAATTTCCCTCTCATTGCTTATGCATGACAGTTTGGTAGGGCGTAATAAACTTTCTCGTCTTTTTGTTTATTTTTGTTAATGAGATGAAAGTTACGTTGAACAAACGAATAACCTGATAATATATTTATATTCTTCGTTGATAACGTTAATTGTTACGTGTTATAAAAGTCGAACGTTGCTTAAACACCGATTAAAACAACTTTTAACTCCGTTAAACAAAGCTTAATCATGTTTATAATTTTTCAAAGTTTACTTATAATTTTCATATTAATGAAACTCAAATTCAATGTATAACAAGCGAATCGCAAATTTTTATTAGAAATCTTTTCACGCGAGTATTATTTTAATTTTCAATATAATTTTCAAAAACCTTCTACTACGAATATTTGCTGTATAGGATCACAGATTCACAACTTTCTTTACCTGCAAATCAAATGCACGATTGTTCGAGATTATGAAGAAGAGCGCTAGAGTGAAAAAGAAACCGGCAGTCGTAAAATCGCAAAGTCGTCATTTTTTCTCGTAGACGCGACGTTGGCGGCGGGGACATTTAAGCGGAACGATGCGGCGATTCAGATTAAATTTTTAGGACGATTCGTTATAAATGCGCGAGCATCGCCGTTCGAGCGTATATATATAGAATACTCGAGAGGGGTTGTGACGTTTGTGCGACGCTCTCGCCCGAGAGAGAGAGAGAGAGAGAGAGAACGAATGATTGCAGGGTTGCATAGTGGAATGGATTTCTGTTTGTTTTCGCGAGGCGATTGTTCGCGCTTCAATGATTCGGTGATTGTTTGCCCAGCGATTCGCCAAATCGGGAGAGGTGGAGTTTTTTGATTAATTTTTAGATGGAGACTGATGGATTTCGAGAGCTACTGATTAACCGTATTCAACATGTTCCACTATCTGTCGAAAAGAATATTCACAGTGATCAAATCTTAATTACGCGGTTAGTTATAATGAATTTGAGCGTTAACTTTCGATTCAGACCTATAATTATTGCAAAAAACAATTACTAAAAAAATTCACCATTTTAATGAAATGTCTAATCATTACCTGTTTATACTGCTGTAATGTGTGATATTATTCAGAACGATATTGAAAATATCTAATGAAAATAGCTGTAAGAACTATGAATTGTATATTATATAGGTTTGCGCATCAAGTAAAGACTTTGAATAAGCTAAGTGCAATTGAAATCGTAAGATGTAGTAGCAGATAACACACAATATTCTTCTAACAATGCAACATTCTATCAAAACTTGTAGTAAGTTATCTTTCAGAGACAAATTTCAAAAAGACTCCTATATCACTTATTATTCATCCGCACTTGTTTTTCGCTGTATAACTTTTTGATAACCGTTAATAATAAAGGTAATATATAGTAAGGCATAGATAGTTACAGCTTATGTTATGTGCACTGATGTAAATACTCAATGTATTGTCGTACTATGAGCTGCAAACAAGAACATTTTCGTATATTTTTTTCATCGCGTACTTGATTGCCATCAGCAAATGGTTTAATATAAATGATTTCAACAATAGTTATGATCATAGTCTAGAATATAAAACAATGTCATAATATGTTTCTCGATCAATCTGAAAGTTTTGTGTCACAATACCTTTCCACCAGTCTACTTGCTATTCCGGAGAATCTCTTCACTGTAACGCAAGAGGAAGTTTGGTAGTCAAAAGTACAATTCTGAATATATTGCTGTAACAATTTTATTTATACATTGCGAGCATTGCAATACTCTGAGAAAAGCATCCAAACACTTAATTTATCTGTATAACTCGAAGCGTCATTAAAGTTTAGTTTAATATTTTTAATCTACTTTTCTTCAAATTCAAATTTACTAAGCTATCCAATTTTCAGTTTATTCATAATCTTTTATAAATAATTTTTTCAATCCATAAAAAAGGTAAATTTTTTTTTGTAATAGTCTGATTATCCTTCATGCTATTGTAATTTAACCCACTAACCTGTATTTTATTGTAAATCATATTAAGAGATTGTAGCATATCTTTTTTGCTCGTTTTCGTTCAACAGGAATTCTTTGTCCTTCAGACTATTCTTGTCAAATGATTGACACGTGTCAGATTGTTCGTCAATTAGCATATCACACGATTCACCAGTACTATAATCATAATTGCAATATTCATAATCGCTATATTCTTCTTGACTGTTTTTCAGTACCTAAACAAAATTTATTTGCAAAATTTCCTACATATAATATAAATAGTAACTATATTAAATCTGTTTTTGATTAATGCTAAATGCATACTTGACATTGCTCATCAAACCAGACAGATAGTTAACCGACGTGGGGTCGGCTTAGGTTGACACCGTAGACGGAACACTCATTATCATCCTCCACTGCTGCTTCTTATATATTGCTCATTCTATTAATTTTAATGTTCATTTTCGTAGAAGAAAATACCAAAGAATCATACGGAAAAAAAATTTTCAAAATTAAAGATATACTTTTTAAGATATAGTCATTTGTTTATAACAAAAGTTAATAACTTTTTGAATATTTTTGAAAAGGTATTTTATATCGGTACTTTTATATTTCATAGTTTTAAGAGTTAAAAAAAATTGATATCAATAGCTCCAATGATTGCAAAAATCTGATTTTTTGAAAAATTTTCATCAAAATTTTTTTACTGTTTATAACTTTTGGTCCACCATAATTCATCACAACAGCCCAAAAATTTATATTGAAGTTCATCGCTGTGCAGATAATATTTGTACCAATTTTTAAGAAAATCGGTCAACTACACCTCGATGACCTTAACAGTCAGGAACGTGCTATAAGCTATTAACAGCGCTCGACCAGTTCACGAGGATCACTCGAAAGAATATATAAGCCTAGTAAAATCTCGACAAAGCTGTAAACGCAACAGCGTATATAATCCTTCTCTTCAAAGAATGTACGAACGAGCGCACAATCGCAAACGCCAGCAGTGAAGCAGAGAGTTTCGAGCGCGCGAATCAGGGGGCAAAACAGCGTAAAATTGAAATTAATGAACGTTCTGCTTCATACCAGCGAGAGAGGACCAATCACTCGAGCTTTAAAATTAGGGTGGATTGAATGCGTGTTTTCCGTCGCGAATTGAAAAAAAAATTGTGCCTGAGAGCAGCAAAAAAGCCTTAGGGCTGCGCTCGAGCCTGAAGAATTACGTTAAAATGAAACGAGAGAAGTCTTTCTCATGTAAGAAAATTTCATGCTGATGAAGAGAAATCGTCGTGGTAAATTTTTCATTCTTATCGACTGAACTGGCGCAACGATGTTTTCCTTTGTTTATCTCTCGTTTGTCACTGGCGTGAGACGTGCGAGTGTCCAAGTTTATATTTATAAATTGCTCGTGGCTTCTGGTCGATTAACGTGAAAAACGTGAGAAGGCCATCTTCTAACGAGGAGAAATTTCAGAGATCATTGCCAGCCGCGTGTATAACGTAACAGGACTGGTGGCCGATACTGTGTCGCTGCTGAGAATATGACTAACGATGGGCGATTAGTACGTGTCGTCTTGTTCTTGAAAGTAATCTCATAAGCTCACGTGCCATCCCTTCCTCCTTTTACGCTCTGTAATGAAGTTACACAAAGGTGTATATTTCATGAAAACTCAAGTGAACTCATTAAAAAATGATCCGTTTTTACGTTTCAGTCGACAGATCCATGCGAGAAAGCACGAGCGGTGGCAGTACCACGATCGAGCTTACAATGCCGCACAGTACTGCAAGAAGGCACGTTCGGTCGCGTATATCGTGGCAATATGAGCCAAGCGAGTCGCGAGCAGGAAGTCATCATAAAGACAGTTACAGGTATGTACGGCGAAATTAATCTAACTTTCGTAATACACGCATCGCTCGCTCGCTTGCATCCATAGAAATTTTAAACGAAGCTCCCTTAACTACGCCCCTTCCCGTGTAAACTAATCATAAGCTGGACGGGGAGAGAAAGGGTAGTTAAGCTAACTAGCCGTGGTGATTAATATTCTCCACTAATTCTTGGTTTTGTAGGCTCCACTTGAGCATTGTAATGTAGTTATCTCGTAATTTTGCCTATTTCAATGCAGATGGACAACCATAGTTATGCGTGCTGTCTAGTTAGTTGCTTTTCGTAATAAGATAGTTAAATAGGTGCTGCTGTATTGTGAAAGTTTTGTTCGGTTACTTATTTTTGGTGTAATAGCTGTATGGCTATTTTTCTTATAAATTAAATGTATACAGCTAAATTGAAAAAAAAAATGTTTTTTTTTATTAGCACGAAATTTAGAAGAATTTAGCTGAGCCATTAATTCCTAAATAAAGCCAGACCTTTAATCGAAAAACTAAAAGTAAGACAATATACATTTTTATAGCCACGCAGTCCAAAGAAAACTTGCGCTATTATCACTTGCCGATCAGTTAACGACAAAACTTGGCATCCACCGGTAATCCCCTGATAAAATGTTTACAGATGTCGCATCAGCATACCAAGCATCACTGCTCGTCGTAGAAGGTTCACAATTGGCAGGACTCATACATGGAAATATCGTATCGTTAACGGCTGCTTGTCTGGATGGTAGCTGCCCAATGCTTGCTTACGCTTGTACACCTTGCGAGATGAATCTAAAGATCTACCTTACCGACGGTAGTCATCACCCCGTTACTCGGGATCTTGTCAATGTTGCCGTACAGGTTGCCAGAGCTGCCGCTTTTCTTCACGGTCGCGGACTTCTGCACAGGTGCGAGTTCTTCGAAATATGCGCCAAGACTTTGCTCGTTTCGTTATTTGTTCAAGGCAAATTGTTTGATGAACCGATTACAACTTTACAGAGACATAGCAACAAGGAATTGTTTAATAGATACCAGCTCATTTCGCACGCGACTGGCAGACGCAGCTCTTTCGCGGGATCTATTCCCACAGGACTATCACTGCTTGGGTGATAACGAAAACCGCGCTATCGGCTGGATGGCGCTAGAGACATTACAGCACGGCCAATACAGCACCTCCAGTGACGCGGTAAACAAAATCCAACTGATAGTAAAGTGTTTGCATCACACTAGGATGTCAACCTTTTCTTATTCATTATTGGTTATTATAGTAGTGTGCCTCGGGTTTAATTAGTTTGGTGATTATAACGGGTATTTTAGCATCTCTCCTTTTTTATGACTACGTATCAGTTGCACGCTCGTGTGTTTTGTAAGTGATTACGCTACGCGTGATGCGTTATTAAGATTCAATTGTACGCGTGCATGGCAATAAATGTAAGTTACAAGCTTTTCTGTACATAACTAATGATCGGATTAAAATGTTTCAGTGGTCGTTTGGTGTGTTTCTCTGGGAATTGGCGACAATGGGTCAACAGCCATACGCCGAGGTTAATCCATTTGAATTGACAGCCTTTCTACGCGATGGTTATCGATTGTCACAACCACGACCGTGTCCCGATGAATTGTTCGCTTTGATGGCTGTTTGTTGGCTGCAACCTGTTCGCGACAGACCTACGATGCCTCAACTACTCGCGTATCTACAAGAGTTTTACGATGCTCTTGGTGGATTCATCTAAGCTTCATCCAAACGAAGTGACAAAGTGAAAAAAAGTCGAACTTTACCAACTATCAAATTGAATTTTTGTTGTGTGTGAGAGAGCGACCTTGCCGAGTGAATCAAATGCGTCATCTTTTTTGCGCTTTCGCAGCAGGACAAAAAAGGAAAATCTAATGAAAAAGACTTATTCGACACTTTTGCGTGATGCAAGTTATATAACGAGGAAAAAAGTACGAGAGAGATGTTTTTCATTGGATTTCTTTTTTCCGGGTATGCTTGGGACTTCTCTTGCAATGCTGTATCGCTAATTGAAGCTTCGCTAAAATAAAACTCTCGTGAGCGTGTTAGGAGATGAACTAAAATCTGTTAAAGATCTTGCAAAGCTGCATTGCCGCAATCTCGGGCTATGGTAACGGCCCAAGGCAAGTCTTATATACGTAGGGATTTTGCCTTTTCAATGAAAAACAAAAAAATCATGTAACACGTTAGCTAGTCAAAAAACATAAACAGTATACTTACGAAATAACATGGAAAGTAATAACAAATAGTATTTCTTTCTAATCAAAAGGATAATAGAACGTTTAATTATGTTTCGAAAATGTTTTATTTTAGTGAATGTAATTATCTACTATCTAGTTATTTTTTCTTTGAACATTTATTTAAATTAAATGAAGCCTGTCGATAGGCAACCGCGCCTGACTGCCATGTAATACAAAAAGTATTAAACAGGTATTATTAGTGGAGAAGTTTATTTATTGTCATATTATTGTGAGTTCCTCGTTTGTGTTAATTTCAACCTTCTAGTCATCATGTAGTCGTATTTTTGTAAAACTTACAAATCAAGATATTAGTGTTCATTCGTTTTATATGTAAAATTGTCTTTCGGAATTGCGTTCGAGTATTTAATTAAAAATCGCATACGTTTCAAACTATGTAAATACATTCAAGGAAATCTGAAAGACAACCGACACTTACTCTAACAGGATATCATTGCTGTTAATAAATCGCTAATAATCAACGTGACAAGGAATCTTTCATACTCATCTATACACAAACAACTACTTTGATCGTACGCACAATATTTCTTGTACAACCTTCTTTTTTATTTTATCAAGCTTTTCTTGTTTATTGACGTTTAAATCAAGAACGTCACAGGTTCCTACAACTATATGGTAACGTTGCGTATTGATCATACTTACTCATGTACTTTACGATCAAACAAAGTATTCATTTACAAAATAACTGGTAAATCAAAACATGGAAAAGTTCTTGGACGAAAATTTTTTTTATTAAAGATAATCGATACTATAGATGTTTAATATTCAATCGAATTTGTAACGAATTTTTCGAAGCCATATCTATAAGTAATCAAACTACAACAAAGCTACAACAAAGCCAATGAAAAGTCATTTGGTTCTATACTATCATTTGTATAGTTACATAAAGGAAAGTATTTTTATTGATGTTACTTCAAGTGTTATTTTAGATAGTTTTACAAGTAGAAAAGTATTTTTATTAACTTACACGCTAGTTAGTCTTAAGCCATAATCGCAACAACATCTCATCTATGCACAATTTTCTTTTCTACGCACTCTTTGCTCTCGACGGTAAACATTCTCTCTGTTGCTGTAAAATATTTCCTCATACAAGTACACTCTATAACTCAACGTGGTTTCCGTGCATAATAAAATAGCGAGAAAAAATTGTACACATAAAGCTTCTAACGCACAGTTTTCAAATGTCAATCGACCATAAGTAATAAGCAATCGTACAGGAAACCCGAATAGTTTTTAACAGAACGCGGCCGTTGACAAGAAGAAATTTTTCGCGCAAAGCCTTGCTTTCAAAACTGGACGTATACGCTCTTTACCTGCCAACAATTATTTGCTAATCTCTTCGCGCTCGCGCGAGCGGGCAAAGCTGAAGTTGCGTTGTAGGTAGGCAGTTTTCTCAAAAGAACTCGCACTCTCGTATATAATCGTCGCTGTATGTGTATAAAACACTCTTTCTCTATCTCTTTCACTCTAACTCTTTAGATGTTCTTTGCTAAGTGGAAGTACAGGGTAGCGCGCTTCCTTTTCTCGCCGATTGCTTAGATGCCGAATGACGTGTATCTGTGTATGAGTGTGAAAATAATGCCGCACCGACACTTTCTTTTTTAACGTGGCGATCGGTATGATCTCGTTGTATTTTATTTGAGACGCGCGCGTCGTGTGCAAAGTATTATAAAAAATTGTATAATTAAAATTTTCAGTAAAATACAAAAGAGACGAAGACGATCGCGCGAATGGAAACTTCTAGGCGATGCGTAAATAACATTTGTAAATAGAGTCATCGTTATGCAGCCGTGCATTATACATGTGTAATCGGCAGGTTAACATTGAAGCGAAAGAAAAGGGGTATAATGTTGTAAGTGCGTGTTGGATAGATAAAAAAGAGAGGAGTTAAAAGGATATTCAATAAAGATATATTTCTCTTTTCAAAGAAGAGAAAAAAAAACGCAAATCAGTCTGTCGTTTTGTTAAAAAGTATCCCCCTCCCGTCCCATTTCAATGCGATTTCCTTGTAGAGCGATAAGCAATCGATTTGTTGCGCGGACGATTGATTGTCGGCACGACTCCTTGGGGAGAGGCACGCCAGCTTTTTCACTTTTTAATAACGCGTCTTTTCTCCTTATGACTGCGTTTGATATCTTTTACCGTACGCCTCTCTTTGCCGAAAGAAGATGGGTGTGTACGGATTTACATGGTAAGTGGATGTTGTGCCGTTGAGTGTTGAGTGGCGCTGTGTTTTATACCTTTCGAAAAACACCTCTCGAGTAGCTTAGAGAGAGAAGTAGCAGTAATAATGTAATGACCGTTTTTTTATTTTCTTCGAATGTTTCATTTAGTAAGAAAATTATTTGTTCGTTCCTGCTCTTATTCAAAAATTTTACATTTTTTTTGGTATAGTGTAACTCCTTGTATGCATTCATTTTTTTTTTTTTTTCAACAATGACCTGCTTAATATTTTTTGCTATCAACGAAGAAAAAGAGTAAAAAGTGATTAAATTAAAGTCACTTTTGAGGTAACTTTTATACTCGCTCCATACAATAATCGTGTATCATTTGCCACATACAACATTTCAAATAATTACACTCGAATGTGTGCGGTAATAAAGAAAAAAAACGAGCATCGGTGGCGTTAATTCTTTTTGGACAAAGCTGATAAGAACGTATACGAGAAAGAGACACTCACCTCGATACCACCTTTCACGAGAATGGTAAGGGGGCCACGTTGAGGGAGATGCCTTGCGTACGTACTATTTCCTAATCCACGGAGCTCTCGGGCAAAGAAGAAAGACAAGTCGGAGTCTTAAAACTCGTCGTGTATGTGATGGTGCGTTGTGCCCCTTCCCTCTTTCTCGCGTGGCAAACGAAAACGAAAGTGACCGGGAAAGTTGCGAGAGCATTGTTACGCGAGTCTCGGTGTAGTACCCCCCTTTCGAAAAAAAAGTCAGCGCTTTTTCGTCGAGTAGTCGCGCGCGCGGCACTGTACAGATATTCTTAATTGAAAATTTGTCGCGCGAGATTGAGTCGTGACGTAATTTACTTCACTTATGGTTTATTGAGATAAGATATGGTTTACTTTTTCATGCGAACAAGTTGATTTGACAGAGCTCAGATTGTATTGAAGGAGTGAAACGAGAGGAAGAGAGTGTCGAGTAAAAGTCGATTCATATTAGCTTTATATAAAGATACCTTATTCAACTTCCCTTTACGTTTCCGGAATTCGAAAATCCAACTGGATAAGCAATCATCACTAAATGTCTTTTTTCTCAGTGAATGCAGTACACTGATTTATGCGCCTGACTTTATCGCTTTGAGATTTTTAAAGTTTCTCTCGAAATTTGCCCCCTTACTGCAAATGGAATTATGACTTTTCACAAATAAATAAACGAGTAAATAAACGGATATATAAATTATATTCGACATAAAAAGCTCTCTGTCTCTCTAATTGTGATTTCATAACGCACTGTTTCCGAAATCTTTATTCACAATATCAACCCGCTTTCAACGTTATGTTAATCGAAACCCATTATATCTAATTTGAAACGAAGAAAAAAAGAAACAACCTTGCGTCGTAGGGTGCTTTCAAAATCAGGTTTATAGCAATGGAGAGTGAGAGAGAGAGATTTTTACTCCGCGATTCGAGAGAGCCAACTCGTTTTCGTTTGCAATCGCCATGTACTTTCTCGCGAAAGTGTAGGAGTGCCGTTGCCTGCGCTTACGTAATCCTCATCCCGCGAGAGTCGGCAGCAATGGCTCATTTTCGATACACACACACGTAGATGCATCGATGTGCATGTAAACACCGACAAGAGGTGCATCTTACGGTGACATTTATTCTGCACTTTCGAGTTTTAGCTTACGAGGAGTTAATTAAAGACACAGGTTTTTCTACGCCGATCGATAATTTACGGGGGTACTTTGTAATGACAACAATAGACTCGCAAAGAGCTAGCGAATTATTATTATAATAATGTGATTGACATAAAATTTGCAATTTAAAATTCTCTTTACCCTTGCAAGGTTTGCTTCTGGTTATCTCTCCCATTCTCTGTGGCAACAACAGCTAATTTTTCTGAAACATTTCACTTGCGGGCTTGCAACTCTGAATGGAAGAGAAAGAGAGCTGCGGGGAGAGAGAGATATATATACATATATATGTATATATAGTAATAAGAGCAATGCGACAGTTGGCGAAACGAGTTGGAAAGGCGGTTCAAGGCTCGGTTAGCCTTGGACGCGTTAGATTGCCTAATATTCACCGAGGGAGTGAGACGGAGAAAGAGTAAAAAATATTGAGCGGGGTGGGGCGTGTGGGTGCGGAAATGTCCTGCGGTTTCACCTTCCCTTTTCTTTCTCTCCTTTCTCTGCGGATGGCCAAATCTTTTTTTTTTCTTCCTCTCTTTCCTTCTCTGCAGTCTCGTGGTCTTGTTAATTTACACAGCTTCCTGTAAGTCGGAGATTGAAAGATTGGAGGATATGGCTTTTTTCAATCGAGAGGAAAGTGCCACGATGAGCTATGACTTTTCTCTCTTATTCAATCGTTATGTCACTACTATAATTGACGAAAGCATTGTGAGATCCAATGACGCTTAGAAAATTTTCTAGCTTGGTCTAAATTGAGTACACCTACGCTGTTATTCAAGAAGAACAATGCCTATCTCTTCAATTCTTATTCAACGTTTTCTTTTTATTTTGATGGCAGACGTGCGTTGACCATTTTTCAGAATTTTCCATTTTGCTTAGCTTGGAAATACGTCATTGGTACAAACACCTTCCCTGAAAACCATTCGTTAAAAATAATTGTAATATTGCAACTTACGTTCGAATTAGCATGAAATGCAAAATTTATGAAGAATGATGAAGTACTTAACGCCGAACATTCCAAACAAGCAGATTGTAAGGAATTTAAAACAAATCGTGACTCTCGCCTGAACAGAAAAACGTCGGCCAGATCCCAGCGATTTTAATCCCGAAAAATTTTTGCACAATACCCCACTCTTAAAACAATCTCAATCTAACTCGGGCAAATCTCTTGAAGCATATAAACACTTGAACCGAATTGCTCACGATTTCATATAGAATAGCGCTTTGCACTCGCGCGCATTGCATAATTTATCGAGAGGCGCTATTTCGCGTGGCGGCGGCAACCGTCCCAGAGACACGTGGATGTGCCACTGCGATCCGATCGCTGTGCAACAAGCGAACTAGACAAAAAAAGAAAGGACCGGCCGATTCAGCGCTGAGAGACGAGTAGATTGCAAATCACTCAACGATCTTTCGAATACCGTGTCGATTTCCAAATTGTGTGGCGTGAAAAAAAAAACAACAATCGAGTAGGATCTATTTCAGACCATATCGCTCCTTTCTCCGTATAGATGATGATACATGATAGTGTGCACTTAGGATATTTTAAGGATTGGAATATCATAAGACAAAAGTCGTATGTTCGAGAAGGATTGAGACATCGAACATTTGAATAATATTGAATAGTTCTGCGTTGTTATCATAAATCATAAAAAGCCAAAAATAAGGTTTAAAAAATATTTCGATAATTTTTATGTAGTGTCGAAAAATGTGAAGAAAACAATCGTGAAGCTACACCCAAAGACATTGTCCGGCATTAGATCCTTCGAAAAAACTTTGCGGGCTCGATTGAACGAATTTCTTCGTCTACTTAGTTATTCAATCACAACAGACGTTGAATGATCGGTCGGGTGCCTCGGCATTCGCGTTTTATATAATTGCACTTTAATTAAGAAGCGCAAGAGGCAACTGATGGGCCAGCCCGCCTTTCTTTCGAATCAGCGTCGCGTCGAGGCAAATTACGTACGACGCGCATATGCGTACGCGCGCATGAAAAGAAAGAAAGGAAGAGAGAGATACAGGCCCGGGCCTCGCTCCGTGAAAGCACCACAAGCCGCTTTCGCTTTCACTCCGGCGCGCACACTGCACGCGCGCCTACTTACTTGCGTTCATTGTAATACATAATCCGCGTATACGCCACGACGACGCTTTTATCGCTCTGCTTTTGGCCGCTTTTACGTCATCGGAAGCCCGCTTCCTTTCTCCACTCCTGCCGTCTTCTCTTTCTCGTCTTTCCGCTCTTTCTCTCCCGTATTTATGAGCATTGCTTGATTTTCGAAAGATTGCCGTTGAGCAATTGTGCTTTTGAGAGGTTATAACATTCAAGTGCCGCGGCCAAAGGCTCACTTGAGTCTATTAGAAAAGGAAATTATGATATCGTGCTAGTACAGATGTTGCAAGGTGGAACGAAATGGTATCGAAAATTTCACGAGATATAGGTTGAAGTCTTCAAACGATAACATTGCAAGATTGACGGATACATGATTGTTATCTTATGACTTTAACACGCCACACCTCGGTGTATGCTTTGCAGAAACGAGTTATGAGTTGATATGAACTCTAGTTGAAAATTTATCTGATGAAACTACAAATGAAATTCCCTTTCAAACTTTTGTTTGATTAATTTACGTACTTCGATCTTTAAGATAGCAATTACGTTTCGAGAAAAGAAAGTTGTAAAGCAAATTTAAATTACTGGCAGCCAATTGAAACTTTTTAACTTCTTAATGTCATTTCATTAATTATAAGATTATAATGTCGCATAAATATAAGTTGAAGATTCCGAAATATTTTTCAAGGGATTATCAGCGACCAGAAACTAACCGTTTCGAAAAATGTGTCGATCCAAAAGTCAAACCCGAACCGTAGTCCCAACGCAACACTTTTTCTAATCATCTAATATTGTGTAGTCACGAGGATTGCGAGAAAGGTACACCTACTTTTTCGAAAGTTGCGCAGTGATTTCCTTGACACTGTGAGTTCCGTGCGCGCCCACCTCGAAAACGGGAGAAAAAG